CGTGTAAGCATATATTGGTACATGATTTTTAGAATAATGTTCATTCCTGGCCCCATTTTGTCAGCCTTCCTCCCGAACGTCCCCTCCCCCCCCCAGACATACATATTTATTTTTGTAGGTTATGTATTCTTGTAAATGATCCTCAATTCTTTTCTAGGACATCACAGCACATAAGCGTGAGAAAATACATGAGATAGAGCGGGAGTTCTTAAAGTCCAGAATGCTGTGGCTGGGAAGATCATGGGTTGTGACAAGAATAAGGAGTGTGTTATTAGGCCAGGCCAACAAGGACTTAGAGGCGCCAGGCAGATCTCAGGCTGGGCTACCTCTCACCTCTCTTCTCTGCTTGCTGTCTATGAGACCTGCTATTTAAATCTTAAGTAGTGACCTCTTTGCATTTGGAGGGGTGGCTTAAAAAAAAGTCAGGTGTGGGAAACCCAATGATCGGCACTGGATCAGCATTAGCTGCTGTTATTACTAACATCGCCATGCCCCAGACAAGTAGTAAGTAGGTAGGTCTCCTCTCTTGGCCAAGCCTGCTGGCACACTAGCACTTTAAGAAAGCTTCCTCTCCGCAGCCTTGCAACTCCCCCTTGGCTCCCCTAGTATCCCACACCCACAGACTCCAAGCAGCTGTCTCTTGCCCGACAACGATCACACCTCTGGAACTCACCTCCACACCCACCACCTCTTCTAGTGTACAAATCTATGCCCTCTCTTGTAAAATGTGCCAACGAGAACTAAGTGCCCAGGTTTAGGGGGTTTCTGCCTTCCCTGCCCGGACCCGACGGGTGTGCCCTCACCGATATGTACAAGACAGTCCTGCCATCCCGGAAGGGGTCTCGGCAGAGCCCCCAGGGGACCCGTGGCCTTGGGTGGAAGCAACTCTTCTACAAGAATCTAGCTGGGTCAATTTCAGGGCAACTCACTCTGCACCCCTCGGACCTAACCTTTGGGCTGAGAGAGATAAACCATCGACGGGAAGGGAGAAGCGAGGGCGGCGCATTCCCTCATCGGGGCGCTACCGAGTAATGGGGGCAGGATTCGAAGAAGTACTGAGGGCGCCCCGCGTTTCCTCCAGCCTGATGATAACATCAGCGCGTGTCAGGTGGTTGGTGCGAGAGGGTGCGCGCGCGCAAGAGAGCGAGCGCAGGGAGCGCGCTCGCACAAACTTTGTGCCTGCGGATGCGCCTGGGTCTGCTCGCCTGGCTCCGAGAGTGGCCGGCGCCGGGCTGCGAGGGCCGGCGGCGGCCGAGGGATGCTCCGCGCTCCGCCGAGCCGGTCCCGCCTCTCCAGGTGAGACGGCTCCAGGAGAGCAGCACGCCGCGGCCATGGGCACCCTGGGCAAGGCGAGAGAAGCTCCGCGGTGAGTAGCTGTGGCTCCTCGGGGAGCTCGGCATCTTTAATGAGGAGTGATAGCTGAGCGGTGTCGCTGCAAACCTCTCCCAGTGGGTAAGGCGCAGGATCGGAGGACCAGGCGACTCCCTCTGAGGACAGTTTCTTCCCGGGGTGGACCACGGCCGAAGACCCGGGAGCCGGGTCTAGACTGACGTCGGGGGAGAATGGGCGTGAGACAGAGATCCCCGGAGCCCAGCACTTTGGGCCAGGAGGGAAGACAGAGTCGTGGCTGTTGGGGTGGCGAGGGCACAGGTCGCCTGGCCAGGTCTGGAGTGGTCTGGGCCCAAGCCTTCACCGCTCTTGGACCTCCCTGGATGCTCTTCGGCGGGTCACCCCCGGGAACTCCCACTCGCATACTTTCCGAGCCCCTGGCACCTGCTGCGGGAGCAGGGCGCGGGAAGCGCCACCTGGTGGTCTCTCCGGGTCTTTCTGGAGCGACCCACAGCAATGGCTGCAAGCGGAGGTGGCAGTTCTTGGCTGCCCCCGAGGAAAAAAAAGTTTCCAAATCAGTGGTCTGTGAGTCTGCATTCCTCCCATGTCCCCACCCCCACACTCTAAAGGGATATTTGGGAGAATCCTGAGATAACAGACAGTGAAGAAGAGTGGCTATGAAGCAATAAGAGTGGCTATGAAGGGTTTTAGGGGGTCAAGGAATTTAGCGTTTGCCCCCAAAGCACAAGAAACCCTTAGCTGCCTGGACACCGCTTTGCCTTGGTTCGGGCTGAACAGGCTGTTCCCTTCACAATGCCATTCATGTGGACTCATATGCGAGCGCATCATGACCGATCTATGTATGTGACTATGCTCATTCTAATTCCCTGCCGGGCCATGCCATCCCGGGTGTGTCATCCCGAATGTCCTCCACCTCACTTTGCACTACACTGCTTTGGATCTGTCCATTAAATTAACTCTGTATTGTGGGCAGCATGGGGTACGACTGGAAGGTGCACTCAGCAGAAGTGGCCAGTGAAAGCTGCCTTTCCTTCTAAGCAGACCATGGGATATCTCCACTCTACCTTGGCCCGAGGATATCTGGAGTCCAATCACCCAAACCAATTCAAACTTTCTTAGCAGCCCCCCCCCCGAGTGTGCGGGGCGGGGGGGGGGTCAGTTTCCAACCACTGTAGGACTAAGAAAGCATCTTCAAGTTAATGTGTTTATTTCAAGATTTTGCTGTTGGTTTGTTTTACTTAATTCACAAATTAAATTGGAAATGTGTGTCTACTGCCCTTTAAAATGCACCCTTGTAGAATTAGCTGTTCATTCTGTGGATGGTTAAAATGCTCTAGAAACTTCCTATAATAAAGCACTCGATTAAATCAGTGATTCTCAACCTGTGGGCCTTGAACTCTCTGGAGTTATATACCAGGTGTCCTTCATATCATATATTTACATTATGATTCATAACAGTAGCAATATTACAGATATGAAGTACCAACGAAATAATTTTATGGTTGGAGATCACAACATGAGAAATTGTATTAAAGGGTCACAGCATTTGGCGGGTTGAGAACCACTGGTGTATAACCCTTCCACCAAGGTGTGGGGAGAGGAGGTGGAAGGGAGCAGTTTCTTGAGGGGGGGTGTAGTTCAGTGAGGAGGCTTGCCTGACATGTGACAACCCTGGATTTGATCCCTAGCATCATGAACGAAAACAGTTTATTTCTTTTAGTTCCTTTAGATGCTTCCTGGTGAGGTGGTAGGGTTGTTTCTTAACTAGATGTGATGAGGTATACTTGCAATCCCAGAAGGCAGAGAGGTCTGGGCCACTCCAAGGTGCATAGTAAGACCCTGTCTCAAAACAATTTTTTAAAAATATATTCTTTAAAAGAAAGACAAGAGGGAAACATGCTCTGAGAGTTTTCCAGGGTAAGTAGTCAAGAAACTGGGCAGAGGGCATTTGCAAGCCATAGGCACTGTTGGCTTTTAACATTTTCCCTTCCCTGTTTTTTCATGCCCTCCAAATCCCCCAGCACTGAACCAAGATGTGATTGTTTCTAGGAAGGGAAAGGAACCAAGCTAGGAAGTGTGGTATGGTGCCAAGGAAGCTGGTCTGCTCTGCACTTGTGGCCAGACATACCTATCTTGTGTCTGAGGATGTTAGGAAAAGGACTTTGCAAAGCCTGGCCAGCACTTGGGTCCTGAGGACCATTCCAGGGGCCTGCTGAACAAATAAGAACTGAGATGCCACCTCTACATTGTCAGCCATCTTTCTGAAGGAGCTGACTGGTGTACACTGAATAAACCCTTTCAGTCTCTTGACAGTCGACCCAACAATTCCAGTGTAGTGATAAGCACACAGACTCCTCCAAAAATGCCTACTAGATGAATAGAGCCAGACAGACCCCAGTACTAGTCCCCCGAGATAGCCCCATTTGGAGACCCATGTACACCACTGACTGATGTTCTGAAGTTAGAACAGAACTGAAAGGGCCAGGGTATCCCCCTGGAGTCTGGCTGTGTGGTGTGGCCCATGTTCAGAGTACCATCTTTGTACAAGCTGATTTCTCCAAACCCAGGTGTGTCCAGGGTGTTTTGTTGGTTTGTTTGTTCATTGTTTATTGTTATTCTTTAACTAAGTGTATGGTTGGCTCCTTCTGGATGAGGTTTTTACCTTGTCAGAGCAGCTCTTCCATACAGTCCCTGGAAAGTGCTTTTCCTTCCTTGGAGAATATTGTGCTTCTTGCCCTAGGCACTGTACTCTTTGGACATTGACCTAGAACTTATGCAGTTACTCTTTATGCTTATAATGTGTGTTGTGGTTCAAGAGTGTTTTTCATGTTTTTTTCTTTGACAGTAAACTATATGTTAGCCAAAGGTGTAACAGGAAAAGGAAAGCTAAGTACATGCCAAAAAGTAATCAGCAACAACACCTTTCATTATTGAAATGTCAAAGAGTATAGATGTGGGTCTCTGTGTGTTTTTAGTAGAGAGAAATAAAACACACTTTGTAAGACACTTTGCAGAGTGACTCGTATCAATCAGGTCATGCCCAATAAAGCTAAGTGTGGTAGATGAGGATCCACCAGACTCCTAAGCCATTTCCAGGCGCAAATAGCCATTTTACATTCAGCTCTAGAGCAGGCAGTTCAACACTGAGCCAACCCCTCCCCCTTTTCTCTTCTTAAGGACCCAAGTGAGGACTTGATAGAATGTTTACTGATATGAATGATTCATAATGATTTCTTGTCTTATCAAAATGCAACTATTTATTAAAACTATTTATTAATAAGAAAGGCAGAGATGGCTGAAAAATTTAAATGCCACCACTGTAACCCTCACTTCCTCCCCACCCTTGAGTCTTTGGGTTCTCCTGCCAGGCTCTTAAAGGTGTTTCCAAGGCCCTCTGCTTTTCGGCATCTTGGGCTTTGCTCAAATGAATGAAACTAGCTGAAAATGAGGCCAACTGAAGCAGTCCTTGAGACCCCAAAGTCAGTAGTCTAGCAGCTAGACTGCAAACGTTCCGTACCATTTTCCCTCTGCCTCTCTCCTTCTGGAAGAGAGACGGCAGCATAGAGTAGTCCTTCCACCAGTGGGGAGAAAGCTGTTACTGCCCTGGAATCTCACCTTGTCATTTGCTGGGGAGATGTCTCTTTAACAGCCAACCAGTCCGTTCAGTGCTTCTGCCAAGTGGGAGGGATATGCCTTCTACCAGCCCAGCTTCAGGGACTCATTGCCCTATCTCCTCTTCCCTCTGTCTTCAGAGCCTAGAGCTGCCAGGGAGACCCACAGCTACTCTGTCTATCCTAACTGGAAATCTCTCTTCTCCCGGACCCCCCAGGAAACCTTCCAATGGCTCCAGAGCTGGCCCTAAAGCAAGACTAGAGGCCAAATCAGTCAACAGCCCTCTCCCTGCCCAACCCAGCTTGGCCCAGATCACCCAGTTCCGAATGATGGTGTCCCTGGGACATTTGGCCAAAGGAGCCAGCCTGGATGATCTTATTGACAGCTGCATTCAATCTTTTGGTGAGTTGGTTAACTGCCCACATACATAGAAATTGCTGTGTTATTTCTTTCTTCTCCTTAAAAAGTGTCTTATACAAGAGCAACCTAGATTGTATTTTGGCTTTAAAAATAGCTGTTGAGCTTTTGAAATGTTGGAGACAGTCTGCACTGCTATGGCACATGACTATGTGGGTGGAATAGGTCGTGATGAGCAATCTCAAGTGAGAAAAGTTACTGAGGGGACTTGCCATTTTCTTTGCATGGGGGTTTGTCTTGTGTTGTGCTGGGGGAGAACATCGGGCCTCTAATGCTATGATAATGTTCTGTCCTCCTTCCTGGGGTAGAAAAAATAAGTCTGTCTCAAACTGTCAAGTAGAATTTGAAAACATTCAGGTCAGGTCAATAATTCCCCCTTACAATCTGGAATTGTGCTTGTGTTTGTAATTAAAAGCCAGGAATTCATGTATTGCAAAGTCCGGAGAGGGGGCGGCGGCAAGGAGCTAGCAATAAGCATGTGGGCACAGGGGCCGGCAATGCATGTTCCAGGTGCTGCCCTCTGTCAACACATGCAGAGCTGTGCTGCCAGCAAGCAGTGGCCTGAAAAGATCTATTTTTAATTAAGCATTTTCTTTTGATGATTGCTTGTGAAATGATGATTTGAAAGTCCTAAATATTGGGTTTGCTTCAAAAAGTGCAGAATTAAAATTGATGGATTTCAGTGAAATCTATTAATCCAAAGATTTTTAGCATCCTTTGCCCTATGTCCCCTTTTCTATGTTCCTGCATCTCCTGCTGGGAAGCAGATGAGTTTGTGGGGCTCAGCTCTGAAGGATCTGCCCTCCCCAGCCTCCTGGAGAGTAGAAGGGGGTGTGCTCAGCTCTCAGAAGTGGGGACTGTTAGTGTTCAGGGCGTGTTCGAACCTTATTTATAGACTTGGGAAAGACCTGGCACTTTGGGGAGAGTCATTTTATGCAGCTGCCTCAATTTTGGTTTAGAACAGTGCTTCTTCAACATTCTTGCACACAGTCATGTGGAGGGTTTCTTCTTTTTCTTTCTTTCTTTCTTTTTTTTTTTTTTTTTTTTTTTTTTTTTTTTAGTAATGCAGATGGCTGGGTACCAGCCCCAGAGTTTCTGCTTGAGTAGGTCTGGCTAGGGTGGGGTCCAACGATTTGCATTTCTAACAAGGTCCCAGGTGAGACTGAAGCAGCTGCTCCCAGAACCCCACTTTGAGAATCACTACTTTTAAAGTACCGTTTGCTCTAGACTTCTTACCCTTAGAAAAACTGAGAGGATCGGGTGTGTGACTCAGTGGTAGAGCTCACTTAGCACAGAGGGGCTTGAGTGCAACCTGTCTATCCCTGAACAAGGAAGTCACTCGTTCTGTTCCTTGGTTTATCCTTACCTGCAAGACTGATTTGAGACAAATACTACCACTAAGCTACATCTTCAGCCCCAGATTGAATAACTTTGTGCTTCACAATCTCTTTGAAAATGTATACATTCAAGGAGACAGCTAGAAGCTGGTGGAGACCAGTGGGAACAGGGTAGCGGCTATTGGTATTAGATAGGCTACAGATGTCCTTCTCCTTGGCTGCTGGTTGTATTTCCTAGACCCTCCCAGAGCATAGTGTAAGAACAAGGACCCTTATTTTCTATTTCATTCCTGAGAACCCTGGGACCAGAGATGCATTTATCGTGGGATCTTTATTTTTTTTTTCTGCCAATCATGCAACCACCTGATGAGCTTGAGACTGTTTTCTTAGCTTTCAAATAATTGTGGCTTCAACCTCAAAAATACATGGCCAAATCCAGAGTTCTTTCTGAAAATAACCAATCATAATCTACTCCCCCTAACCAATCCTACAAAGGCAGTCGGGCATTGTTTTCTGGATATGTTAGGGTGGAAACTAGAACCTTAGAATGCACAGCTGTGTGAGCCCCACTGAGGCTAAAGTCCTTTGGGTCGTTACCAAGAAATATTTATTAAGTCCCTAATTACACCTGACCCTGCACTGTATGCCACCTGAGAAAAATGACAGTGATCAAGTACCTGTTTCATTAGCACTTACAGCACCTGTGTATTCAGGAACACACACACACACACACACACACACACACACACACACACACACACGATAATAAATGAAGGTGTTCAGGAACGAGTTCATTTTACTATGTAGAAGCTGAACAAGGACACTTACTGGGAAGGACCAGCCCCCACTCACAGCACCTGGCACATGGGAATGCTGTGGACAAAATCCCAGAGTTTCTGTTTTATAGGTTGCAGAATTTCCTGTCACAGAATTTACATAAAAGACAGTACACAGCAAAATCCAGTGTATGTTGGAGAAAGTCAGAGAGAATACCTTTATGAGTCTACCTTTTCTTGGTTGTGAGTTGACTTATCTGTTTCAAGGAGGAGCTTAACGCTAACCTCTGAAAACCTGGCTTAAAGATCTAGACAACTACTCATGCCTTTCTTTACTTTCCCTCACCTTCATGCAGACACCTAGGATGTGTTTTACTCTGGCTGTGTATAACTGTCCAGGGCAGAATCCCCCCCCCCATATATGTGTGTGTGTGTGTGTGTGTGTGTGTGTGTTAAAATGAAATCAAGTGTAAAATTTAGTTCTGATGCCTCAGTAGCCAGTCTTCAAGTGCCTGATGGCCTCAGCCTCAGGTGGTGACTGTTGCTACTGGACAGAATGAACAGACCATGTGTCCATGGTCACAGGAAGTCTGACTGATAGTGCTATCGAGGGAAGATGACTAGATGACCGACCTGAAGGGAGAAACGGTGGATGGATTTCTCTGGAAACTGGGTTTGCATTCATTTCTCAGGTGTACCTAAGGGATGATCTAAATGTTGTGTAGAACCTCCTGGGTATTGAGAGGTGTGTACTGAAAGCTGTCTCTTGAGCATTATTCAGCATCAAGTGTCAACCCCCTCCTGGAACTGTCCTCAGAGGAAGGCTGGATGGATCACAATGGATTTAGGGATACACATGCAAATGAAGGTACTGTGGAAGGCCCCCAGCAACCTTCCCAGTGTCTGTGACTAGAAACACCAACCCTCCAGTTCCTTTGCCTTAACCCTGCACCCACCTTCTGTTTTAATCAGAGGGCAAGCTACAGACAGACCCCACGTGTTGTCTGCTAGTTAACCCATTCCCACCCTGAGCATAATGAGGTAGAGCATCTCAACCAGGAAGGAATCACACCAGTGGGGACAGAGCTTAGAGGCCTATGAGGTCACTTAAACTTTTCCTTTCTTTTTCACTTTGCAAGAGGGCTACCAGCGTTGGGCCCAAATGGGGGGTAAAATCAAATACCCCAATTTACACAGTTCTTTCATGTCTCCTATTCTGTGCAAAACAACTTCTGATAGCATCAGAAAATAGTTGCACATGAGCCCGAGCAGGCACCCTGGCAAGCTGCTCCCCCGTGTCCAGGGTGGGCTGTCAGGGCAAGGACAGTTCATCTGAGTAACATATTTATGGGGTGCTATTTTTTCTTAGTGTTCCATATGTATTGATTTTTCTTTTATAGTCAAAACAAACCTGAAATAGGTCGGGTATTATTATCTCCATTGGATGAGCAAGAAAAAAGTGGGGCACCCTAGAACTGAAACAACACGTCGTGTACCCACAATCTAAATAGGAAACATGCTGCCCCTTTTCCTCTGCCTCTGCCTCCAGCAGTCATGTGTACCCTGAGCTGGGGCAGGTGCAGCTCTCTCCCCAGACAAGTTCTCATATTCTCAGGAAAGACTTTGTGCTACGTAGAGTAGGTCTGCAGCCTATACTTGCCAGTCGGCAGGCCTGCTCTCCCCAGTTAGAAACCAAATTCCATTCAGCGCAAGAAATGGTCACAGACTCCATCTGTATACCATCAGGTATCTGACTGGTATTAATTCTCCAGCCAAATTTGTGTTCGTATATTACCATGTGTGTGCATTATACTAATGCTTCCCAATCTAGAAAGAGCCTACTACTAGTGAATATAGTTTCTGTGATATGGGCTAGTTGGTTACTAAGCACTTTACAGACCTTAATGCATAATGGGTAAAACACTATACCAGTCTTTGGAGTTCAGTGAAGGCAAACAGGTGCTTGTTAGAACCACAGTCCCCTCCACAGCAAAAGGAAGTTTGGATATTTCTCAACTCTCTGTAGCTTCAACTCCGGCTTCCAAAGCAAGGTGTAGAGGAGACAGACAGGCACCAAACCACCACTCAGATGGGTACTTAGAACTGACAACTGCAAGAGCCAAGCTGTGTATACAAAGTCACGTATAGGAATCCTTTGCTACTGCTGACAGCAGGCCCTATGTGATGGCTACAGCTGTCCCTGACACCTCCCCAGGAGAACTCCTCAGATCAGCAAGGTTTCTTATAGAAAAAAAAAAAAAAAAAAAAAAAAAAAAAAAAACAGTCAGGAGAGCTCCCTGTCTTAAACAACTGGGATTGTCAGAAGTGTCCAGCATGGCTGTCCCTAGCCCTTTGGAAAGAATTGGCATTCGTTGGTCAGCATGCCACTTATGCTAAAGAGCTTTTTACTATGTCTCCCCTGGGCAGGTGTCACCCAATGCCTCTGGGATATCTGCTCTCTCATGAGTATGAGTTTCAGTGACTCTGGGACCTGAGGAAGGAAAGGGTTAAATTATCATCACCCTCAACTGTGTGCTGAGGCAAAATCAGTCTTCAAAATAGTGATGCCTAAGAGCCACAGTTTCTCGGAAATTCTGGGTACTTTTCTTCAGGAGATGGGCCCAGAGAAATGAATCTTACAGCTGCCTAGAAGACAGAGGATGCACAGTTGCTGAGCACTTAGTACCATGGGCTCAATGGGGAGTGAGCCTTTACCTGAATTGACCCCACTGGGCTTCCCTGCAGCCCTGTAGATTTAGTTTGCTCTCTTAACTGATAGGGCACCAGAATTCAGGAGCAGGAAAGGATACATGGGATGTGGTCCAGTATTGCGGTTTAATAAGGATCAGGATAAACAGATAGGCCAAATAGA